CTGTGGTTTCCCATTCAGTAGGCCCGGGGCTAGCTTCCTACAACCTCTGGGGTCTGCGGACCACACTTTGAGAAGTCCTGGACCGGGAGTCGGACAGCCCAGGTTCAAACCCCAGCCCTGCCGGATGCAGCTGAGACTCCAGCTAAGAGAGTTCTGTGAGAGCCGAAAGGCCACACTCGGACAGGCAGCCTTCCCATGCCGGCACAGGCTACTGCTCCGTGGGCGTTGTCACTGCCACGGTCACGGGTGTTAGGAAACGAGGCTGCAGCAAGCTCAACTTATGACACGTGACTTTCAGCCACCGTCTTCATCAGAGCCTCAGCTTCCTCATCTGTGAAATGGGGAGAGTGATAGCCTGGCTCAGCCCACTTCCCAGGCTATGCAAGCGTCGGGGGCCTTCCCCACGTGAAAACCAAAAAGGCCAGGAGGGGGGATTTATTAGGAAGGAGTCGGGCAGGGGCAGCCCCATCACCCTGGAGCCATGGCGTGGGGCTCCCTGCTCTCCAGGGACATCAGAAATAGGCCTCCTGGCCACCCCACCCCCACCCCCTGCATTTGGAAAGCCAACAGGCAGCCCAGCTTAGGGGAGTGGCTGGCTGGCTCTCCAAACATCTACAGGGAGGGGATGGGGGGCGCACTCCCAGCCCACCTCCCACCCGCCGGTGTTTGTGGCAGGAAAAGGAAGGTGGCGGAAGTGACTGAATCTGTGCAATCAAAGATTCCCTCCCTGGGGCCTTGCTGCACAGTTCCTGCCCAGGTGCCCTTCCTCCCCGGCTCCCCCTCCTGCACACCCCCAGGGGCAGGCAGGCGGGCAGACGTGGGAGGGCAGCAAGAGGACCACCGTGCCCAGCCCAGGGGCTCGTCCACCTGCCCAGACACACGCTGCGTAGCTGCAGGAGCAAAGGCGTCTTTGAGAGGTGTGCCCTCGCAGGGGGCGCATGGCTGTGAGGAAGTGACCCGCGGGCGGCCCCACACTCGGGGATGCAGAGCCAGGTTTGACAACCCGAGAGCGGAACAGGTCTGAAGTCTGGACAGGTGCTCAGGTGAAGGCTTGTCCTAGGGGCTGGCGCTTGCTGAGGCGGTTAAGCCGCTTCCCGTTCAGCCGCCTTCTGGGGTGCACGTGGGGAGCGGCTCGGGACTCCTGGCCCAGCCCTGGCTGATGGGGACGGGGAATGAACCAGCGGATGGAAGATCTCCGTCTGTCTCTCTGCCTATCACACACAATGAAAATACATTAAATTCTTTAAAAAGGCAGAGTCCCTGATGTGCCTAGTCCTTTAGGTCTTGTTTTATTGCTCTTTTTAAAAAATATATTTATTTATTTGAAAGGCAGAGTTACAGAGAGGCAGAGGCAGAGAAAGAGAGAGAGAGAGAGAGAGGGCTTCCACCTGCTGGCTTGCCCTCCAAATGGCCTCAATGGCCAGAGCTATGCTGATCCGAAGCCAGGAGCCAGGAGCTACTTCTGGGTCTCCCACACAGGTACGGAGCCCAAGCACTTGGGCCATCTTCCACTGCTTTCCCAGGCACATTAGCAGGGAGCTGGATTGGAAGTGGAGCAGACAGAACTCGAACCGGCACCCATATGGGTAGCCGGCACTGCAGGCAGCAGTTTTACCCGCTACACCACAGCACTGGCCCTAGGTCTTGTTTTTAAAGCATCTGCCTCCATGACTCTTTTATATGACAGAGAAACCAGCCTCTCTCTGGTTTAAGCCACTTGTTTTGCTTTACGGTGCCACACAGCGGAACTGAATCCTTCCATGATGCCGGAGGCCAGTGTGTCCCACTGGGAAGTCACCCAAGGTACCTGCCTCGGAGACCCAGTGTTAGGTGCGATGGTGCCAACGCTGCCCCAGGGATACCCCAGGTCTCACCACGGGGCCCACTCGCCCTCTTGGAGCCAAATTATGCGGTGAGAAAAAGTCTTCCTCATCCCAAACACCCGGGGTCTGTCACCGTCTGGCTGCCCTCCAGGGTTGCAGCACCCACACCACACACTCTTCTTCCAAAGTCGTGGGCTCTGCGTGCGCTTCCCCTTGGCTGCTGCTCGGTGGCAGCCACGTGCTTCTGGCATCGGTGTCACTGGGTCACTGTGTCACCCTCCCCAGCAGCAGCTGTGCACTGCTGCCAGGGGCTGCCCAGCCTCCCGCCCAGACAGCCAAATGACGCGAAGACCGCCAGGAAAACGAGGCCGCCCCACACTGCTCTCACTTCCTCCGCTCTGCTCCCATTTCCTCCTCCATCCCAGCCCTCCCTGGCCACAGCTGGCCATGGTCACAGCGCCTAACTCAGCAGATGCCAGGGCCCCACCCTCCACCGCCATTCGGCACTGAAAGCAAAAGGAGGAGCTGGAACAGAAAGAAAAAAAAAAGCATCAAACCACTGAGCGAGAAGCAGCAGCTGGCAGCACACTGGGAAAATTCACAGACGGGAATTCCCAGCCCTAAGGCTATGCCAGACCGAGGAAGTTCTTAGGAGACAGCCTTGACATTGTTCCCAGCTCACGGGAGCACCTGACCCTCATCCTGTCCACGGGGAGGTCTGTGCACCACGCCAGACTGGAGAGCAGAGCTAGGGAGAGCGAGCGAGGGGGGACGGCGAAGGGGGCTCACTGTGCAGGACGCTGGGAAGGGATCTCACATACAGCCTGAGGGTCAGGTTCCCCTGGGGTTCTGGGGGCAGAGTCCCCAGAGGGGGGCTTGGCAGAGCCAATGGCAGGTTCAAGAAGGGCCCTGCAAGGCCCGACTGGCAGCCAGCTGGGTGGCAGTGGCTCTGACCTCAGTCGGCGCGAGATCCTTCAGCCGCTCAGGAAACACGGATGCAAACTGGAAGAGGGTGGAACAGGGATTGCTTGGTGCCTCTGGAAGTCCAGCGCAGAGCTGGTGGAGCCATGGAGTGCAGGCAGGAGGAGGGGAGCCGCTGTGCCACCACCCGCGGGCCCTGGCTGGCAGGCAGGGCCCTGTGGGCCACACTCCCAAAGGGGCGGGTGCCCAGACTTCTCAGGAAGAAAGGGGAGGGGTCCGTGCAGCTCATTGCACAATAGCTAAGATATGGAATCAACCCAAATGTTCATCAACTGAAGACTTGATAAAGAAATTATGGGATTTGTACATCATGGAATACTACACAGCAGTAAAAAAAAATGAAATTCTGTTGTTTGCAACAAAATGGATGAAACGGGAAAATATCATATTTAGTGAAATAAGCCAGTCCCAAAGGGACAAATACCATATGTTCCCCTCTATCTGTGATAGCTAATAGAGCACCTAAAAGGTAATCTACAGAAGTGAAGTTAACACTTTGAGAAGCAATGACTTGAACAGCCTTTGTCTCAACTGTTGAGGAACAGTTGTTTTTTTCATGCAATTTGTTGAACTCTTTACTTGGTATAGAGTTAATCGTATGTGTATAAAGTTCATTGAAAATAGATCTGAGTAAAAAACAGGAATGGGAATAGGAGAGGGAGGAGGAAGAGGGGTGGGAGTGTGGGTGGGAGGGCGGGTACCGTGAGAAGAATCACTATGTTCCTAAAGTTGTATTTATGAAAAGCTTGAGGTTTGTATGCCTTAAATAAAAGGTTTCAGCGGGGGAGGGGGGGGTGGAAAAAAGAAAGAATGAATGAAAGGTGAGGAGTCCACAATGCCGGCCCAGGAAGAGGGGCCTTCGACTCAGGGATTGGCTGAGGGGATTTGGAAAAGGGCGGGGCCTGGGCCCTGTGCAAAGCAGCACCCCCTCCCCCGTCCGCTCCGGGGCTGCCATGAGTGACAACAGAAAGAATGCGCAGGGAGCCTGCTGGGCAGTGACCTTAGGACTGGCAGCCCCGTCTACTCATTCCCCTCTTTCTCTTCTCTCCTCTGCCCTTCCAGGGAGCCCCGAGTCCCTCCAGCCACATGGCACCCCCCCCCCCGATTAAACGGCCCGCATGCGCTCCCTGCCCACTGGCCGGTGGGGCCTCTGCCCACTCCGCAGTAGAGGAGCCCGGGGTTTGCGTCCTGCCACCACCGCGCGGTGCCTTTGCTTACTCATACGGGCCATGGGGATAATTACGTCTCCGGCTCCACGTGGGCGCCTCGGGGACGCAATGGGTAAACAAGTGTGTTCTGGAAACACGGCTGGCATGTTGGGAGCTCCTGATAAGCTGGGATCCTGACCCCGGTTACCACTGCCGTGTCCCTCACCAACTCTGTGTCCGGATGAGAAGAATGTCCAGCACACAGCAGGTGCTCACTTAAAGTGCTGCATTTGCCTGTCCTGGGAATTCGGTTCTAGACCCTGCCCCGTAATGCACTTCTACGTGCCCGCCTTGCTGCCTGTAGCGGTTTGAGTAGGATTCGTCCTCCGAACACATGTAGACCTCTGAATGCCGAGGTCATGAGCTAATTTAACTTAATCCAATTGCGGTGTCTAGATGGTGGGTGTGTTGGCAGGTCTTCCGGTCGCCGGGGGCATGCCCTCAGAAGATGGTTTTTGAGGGGATGGGTTGTAAAGTCCACACCGGGCCAAGTCACTCTCCAGTTCCCGGCTCAGCTCACCATGGGTACCTTTCTCTGCGCCCTCCACAGAGGCCAGATCAGTGGGGCTGCCCCGTGTTGGACTTGAACCTGTGAATGCTCATGAAACCATGAGCTGGATGAGCCTTTTTGCTTTTCCCGGCTGGCTCCCCAGGCAGTGCATTGTGGGGTGTTCCCGCCCCTGGAGGGTCCTCACCCCGTCTAACACACTCCATGGCAGCACTGCACACGGCCAGCGCCGGCCTCAGAACCCGCGCAGAGCGGGGGCGCCCTGATCTGTCCATGGCTGGTAGCCACCATTTTTATGCTTTGGCTTCAAAAGAGAGCGACTGGCTGACCTTGGAGGGCTCACCATCTGCAGGGTGGCCACCGAGAAGCAAAGCGCTCCAACTGCTATAAACGCCCTGTATCATGTGGCTTCGACATTCAGACAGGGCTTCCCCGGTACAGCCCCTGCAGCAGAAGCCACGGGTGTCCAGGCCACGTTTTCCAGGCCTCCTAGCTGGTGAGCCGAGACACGGAATGTGTTTGCCCAAGAAACACAAGCCAGGCAGCTCCACCGCATCAACAAGCCGCTTTCCGCCCCGGACAGGGGCAACAGCTGCCCCAAACCTGGCTGTTTATACACTAAAAAAAGAAATTCCATGGTGACCAGTTGGCTCAAGCCAGCGCCCTGCGGAAGGCCGGCGGTCGTTGCAAAGTAATCCCCGGGCACCAGCAGCTCTCCACCCAGTCCTCGGTAAAAATAAAAGGCAAGGGCGAAACCTGAGCCGCAGCGGGCAGGAGACGGTGCTCCTAACCGCCTTCCGGGCGCGGGGCTGGGAGCTGCCCTCTCAGGGCAGGTGGGCCCCCTGGAAACACCCCCACCCTGGGGACGGGCCCTCCTCCACCCTGGGGACGGGCCCTCCTCGCTTGCTCCACCCATAAGAAGCTGCTCCCTGGAGGGCGGAGGTTAGGCAGAGGGCAGGAGTCCGCTCTTCCCTGGGTGGGGACGGCCACAGGGCTTTCTCCCCACCCACCCGCAGTGCGCTGCTCACACCCAGGGCCTTTTCTCATGTTTTCCAGGCACGGGATCTGCCGACGATGAAAAAGCTACGCATGGATTTCCAAATCTTTTTATACCAAAGTAAATTCTTCTTTGCGTTCTGTTTTCCGTGAACTTTTTGAAAGTGCCCTTGTACGTTGCTCTCTTTTTAAGCCACGTGTGGCCGGGAAGTTAGGGCCCTCCTGCCGTCTCCTGTCCCACGGTCGGGCCTCCACCGCCTCCTCTGGCCACCTCCACCAGGCCTCGTGCCCCACAGTTGCTATCTGCGTGAACTTTGCACTCTGGCCCTGTTGACCCAGGAGAAGGGCTGGCTGATAAGGCGGGACATCACCCAGCTTTATGGGTTCCTCCCAGCCTCTCTGGCGACACCTGAGCCTTCTGCTGCTGCCCTTCCCGTCACCCCCACTGTCACTCTCACGCTCAGCTCCTACCAGGTCACATGGGCACACCCACCCTGCAGGACACCCTTGAAACACACACACACCCAGTCATCCCAGTGCGGAAAGTGAGTGAGGACATTCAACTGGCGAGGACCAACGTGGAAAACCACATGTGCGTGTCCTGCCCCCCGCCGCTGGATTCCAGGCTTCTGCCCCATTGCATGCTGAGTGCCCTGCTGGTGTGTTCCACATCCCTTGCACACCCCTGTGCGGGCAGCCACACCTGCCTGCACAGTCCTCGGCTGGGCAGGGAGAACCTGCCTTCTTCCCCTATGCTGCCACCTTGTGACTGGACCTCAGAACTGCAGGCTCTTCACCCAGGGCAAACAGCCCACCAGGGCGGGAGGGTGTGGGAGCCAGGTGGGCTCAGGGCAGATCTACATCTGGCTGTCCTTCTACAGATAGAGAACCCAATGATCAAAGTCCCCCTTTCCTACACCTGACCCCAGGGACACCAGGAGACCTGCCATTATGCAGGGACACTCGGCTGGCCTGGGAGAGGGGTGGGCGTGCCCTTGGGGCCAGGGCACTTCGGGCCCACGTGTGCATCTTCTCGAATCCTGACAGGAGCGTGGGGACCGTGCCACCTGCGACCGGCTTCCCAGGGGCTGGCTCCACTTCCCCGGCAGCCCTTGGAGGGTCTGCCTGTGGCCTTGGCTGGGACCTGGGGATCACAGAAGTGGGGATCCTCACTCCGTACCCCCAGGGACAGTTCCAGGAGCTGCGCCACCAATCTTCCCTCCTTCGGCCTGGAGTTGGTGTGTTCCAGGCTAGCAGTCACTTCATCCAGCCTCATTTTACTTGATTTTATTTTCGAGAGGCAGAGAGGGAAACATGGAGAGACAGAGAGAGAGAGAGACCTCAACCACTGCCACTCTCTAAATCCCTGGGGGCTGAGAACTCAATTCAGATCTCAAGGACCCAGAGACCCAACCATTTGAGCCACCACCTGTGGGTTCCCAGGGTGCGCATCAGCAGGAGCTGGAATCAGGAGCAGAGCTGGTAGGGGATGCGGCTGTTCTGAGCAATGGCTTCACTGCTGGACCGGACAGCGGCCTCCATTCACTCTCAGTCCTCGGGCTCTGCAGGCTGAGTCAAGCCTGCTCCAGACGAGGGCTCCCAGCCGTCTCAGAAGTGGGACGGTGGCCTTGACGCCCGTGCTCACATCCGCCCTGCCCACCCGCCCCCCGCAGGTGCGTGCCCCTCGTGCGTGTGCTGCCGCCCGGCACTGCACAGTGTCATCGTCCTCCATCCCCACCTTTATAACCTGCAGCATGTGCTTGGGTGGGGATGGGGCTCGTGGATTTAGCATGCGGCAGGTGGCAGGGCCTAGGAGCTCGCTATGAATCCGCGGTCATGATTACAGAAGTCACCACGGCGCCCAGCCTGGGTGTGGCTGGCTGGTGGCCTTGGGGCTTCCCCCCACCCCCACCCCCCAACCCTGCATCTGCCAGACCACCAGGACCTCTAACGGGTCCTTTACCTTCCGATCCCAAGAGTCCCCGTCTGTTAAACAGTCTGAAACAGGGCTTTCTAAGGTCCTTGAATTGTCTGCCCTCCTCAGAAAGCTGATACCTAGGAGTCACCAGGCCTAGAACTTGATCCTCTGACTGGGTTCTTAAGGAAAACCAGCCCTGAAACCAGACTGTCTGGATGCCAATTCCAGCTGCGTCCCCTGCCGCTGGGCCGTTTGCTGGATCCTGGGGGCTGCTGTTTCCTGAGACCGAGCAGCTGGGTGCAGGTGTGAGGTGCCTGGCGCCAGCCCCCGCTCAGCAGAGGTTATTTTTCCCTTCAGACCCCACGGAAGTCCCGGGAAGTCGCAGAATTAGTTCCCGTCCACAAATGAAAACCTGGAGGCTCGGGGAACAAAGCCCCTTGCCCAGGCTTGCAAAATGGTACAGCCTGGAGCGCAAGCAGGCTCCGGATTCTGAGACAGCCCCACGACCTCCATCCCTGAAAGGCAGAGTTACAGAGAGAGAAATCTTCCATCCATCTGCTGGTTCACTCCCCAAAAGGCTGCAACAGCTGGGGATGGGCCAGGCTATAGACAGGAGCCAGGAAGTCCATCCGGGTCTCCCACGTGAGTGCAGGGGCCCACGCACTTGGGCTGTCTCCCACTGCCTTCCCACGCCATAGCAGAGAGCTGGATGGGAAGTGGAGCAGCCAGAACACACACCGGGTGTCCCAGGCAGTGGCTTAATCCAGTGTGCCACAATGCCGCCCCGTAGACACTTCTTGATGTGGAGTGTTGCCCAGGCGCTATGGGGAACACCTCCCCGGCGTCCTTCTCCCATGGGCCCCTCCCTGGCGTCCTTCTCCCGTGGGCCCCTTGACAAGCAGCCCGGCACTGATGTGATTTACACACACAGTCGAGGTGCACAGGGGAGGCATCGGGTGGGTTTCGTGTGGACCGGGGCACACTCTCACTCGGGGGTCTTATTTTTCTCCATTCGTTCCTTGAGGGTTAAGCAGATTTTAGGAGAATATTCCAGTCTTGCCCAATGCCTGCAGAACAAAAAGCTGCACGTTGCCCTGCCCTGCCCAGCGGCCGACCGCTAGGCCCATCAGCCCCACAGTGTACCAGCACCTGCCTCCCCCAGAGTCCCCAAACCCTGGAACCTCGGCTTTGGAGAAGACCCTGAGGGCCATCTGGTCCCCGCATGGCAGTCTGCCTAGAGCAGGGGTCAAGGCTGGGTCACCGCTCCATTCACTGCAGGGGACAGCCAGTGATGCCCTGGGCCACCTCCAGCCCAACTACCCCCTTCTCCAAATGGGATCTAAGTGAAAATCCCCTCAGGACCACCGGGAGGTCTGACCTCCCCCTGGGCCCTGATGCAGGCCCCTGGGAGGGTCACGGCCGTCACAGAACGAGGGCTCGCTGGCTGCCCGCTCTGTGTGGTGTTCCACACAATTATCCTCATGGATCTGGGGAAACAACTTGTCCACAAAGGTGTGGGCTCACTCGCTGTCCTCAGCACGCGTTTGTTACTCTTTTAGAAATCAGTGAGGAGCCTGGCATTGTGGCACGGAGGGCAAAGCTATGGCCTGCGGTTTCAGCATCCCTTATGGGCAATGGTTTGAGTCCTGGCTGCTCCACTTCTGATCCAGCTCTCTGCTGTGGCCTGGGAAAGCAGTGCAGGATGGCTCAAGTGCTTGGGCCCCTGCACCACATGGGAGACCTGAATAGAGCTCCTGGCTCCTGGCTTTGGCCTGGCCCTGCCCTGGCCATTGTGGCTGTCTAGGGAGTGAACCGGCAGATGGAAGATCTCTGTTTCCCTGTCTCTCTGCCTTTCAAATAAATATAGTGGGGAAAAGCCCGGATGACACACGGATGTGTGGGTCAGCCTACAGACAGCGCAAACTCACTGTTCCTGTGGCTGCAAAACTGAGTGGCCTGCAAATCCCGAGGCGGGGGTCCACTTCCAGCCTGTCCACTCCCAGGGCTTTAAGGGCTTTTAGTCCTTGGGCCCCTGCACCTATGTGAGAGACCTGGAAGAAGCCCTTGGCTCCTGGCTCCTGGCTTCGGATCGGCTCAGCTCTGGCCATGGTGGCCATCTGGGGAGTGACCCAGCAGATAGAAGACCTCTCTCTCTCCATCTGTCTCTCTGTAGCTCTGCCTTTCAAATAAATAAATAAATCTTTAAAAAAAAAAAAAAAAGCCACAAGCAGCCGGGACCTACCTGAGTGGGGCCCCTTGTGGTCCCGGCTCCTGGGTGCTGGGCTTGGACTGGGAAGTGTGGGTTTCCAGCCCAGCTGGTCGCTTCCCACTATCTCTGAGCTTCGGGAAGTCACTTCCTCTTTCTGGAATTGTTTCCCCATTTGCAGAGCAGGCGATGGCGTCAGTGCCTGGACACCCTCTCAACAAGAGACGCAGCCTGCGGCACCAAGCACCGGGCGGGCAGGCAGCAGGCGAGGACACCCCACCTGTGAACTCGGAAGCTCCTGGGCCCCGGCCGCTTGCTCGCTCCTGTGCGCGGTCTGACTTGGCTAGCGTGGTCCTGGCTTACCTTTGCTACGCTGAGCCACTCAAAGACGTGGGGTGGAGCCGAGTCGCTGAAGGGAAGCGCTGAGCTTGGCCACTCTCAGGTCCTCCTCTCTGCCGGGCTCTTGTTGACCCTCGACATAAGCGACCTCACCTCTTCGTCCCAACAAGCCTGGGAGGGGGCACCGGGGCGCCCATGTGCCTGCTGGCGAGACTGAGGTTTCCAGTGCACTCAAGCCTTGAGGGCTGGGAGAGCCCCGGGTGAGGGGCCCAGAGCAGGCGCACAGGGGCAGGGCCGTGTGGTCCAGGCAGTGGCGCTCCCGCTCTGGGGTACCACGGAACTCACAGAGAGGCCATGCCCTATGCAGCAACACACCTGCTCTGGATTCTTGAAGCCCAGGGAGATGGGTTCTTAAGAAGCAGCCTGGTGTCCATGCAGCAAGGTTCCGGGGTGGGCGCTTGCTTTGAGAACACGGTTCTGCACACGAAGCTTGCCACACTCGGCTTCCACGCAGCCCTTCCTCCAGACACACGTGCCAGCTCCGCCATGACAAACGCTGCCCCAGCGGCGCTGAGGGAGAGCAGCTGACATTTCTCCAAGTCCCATCATTTCTCAGCACATTGCTCCTTTCGGGAGACACATGCCAATAAATGGCATTTTGAAATCCCAGGAGCAGGCGACCCACCTGTTC